AAAAAACCCAAACCCGCCCTGCCTGGCGTGTTGGCCGGGTCATCATGGAAGCCCACCTGCGGAGCTTTAGGGTTTAGGGTTTAGGGTTTAGGGTTTAGGGTTTAGGGTTTAGGGTTTAGGGTTTAGGGTCTTCTTCCCTGCCTGCCCTCTACCCGACCCCCGACATATCCCCCAATTGATTTGTGAGTCTCGGAGCACTAGAGACCCCTAAACCCTAACACCCCAAACCCTTATAATCAAGCACTAAACGCCAAACCCTTAAAACACTAAACCCTGAACCCTAAACCCCAAACCCTTTTAGCTAGCACTAAACCCTGAACCGTTTTCAGCACTGAACCCTGATCCCTAAACCCTGAACCCTAAACCCTAAACCCGAAACCCACCCTTTCAAACACTAAGCCCAGCCCCAAACCATGCAGATCCGCCCCCTCGCCCCGCCCCCCCCCCCCCCCCCCCCCCCCCCCCCCCCCCTGTGGCAAGATTTAGGGTTTAGGGTTTAGGGTTCTGTTCTGCCTTGTTGTTCGTGGCATGCTTTCTGCCTCCAGTGCACGACCGAAACCCCGAACCCCAAACCCCTAAACCCCAAACTCAGTTCTATCACAGACACTCTGGCCTTCGCCAGGTTGGTAGGGACTGCAGGGAAAACAAGGACACGCGGGTTCCTGTAGAAGATTGCATGGGGCAACCAACTCCCCGACCCTTTGTTGGGAACCAGCAGCCCAGTAGTTCTCAGAAGCAGTAAGCCCAGTAAGGGCTTAGGTCCTAAGTTTGCCGCATACGACTCATCAACAAATCAACAACATGAAAAACCCAAAACCCAAAACTCTGAACCCTGAACCCTGAACCCTGAACCCTGAACCCTAAACCCTAAACCCTAAACCCTAAACCCTAAACCCTAAACCCTAAACCCTAAACCCTGAACCCTAAACCCTAAACCCTAACCGAATAGAATAGGGACCGACTGGGCGGCCTCCTGTCGGAACATGCCGGTGAGGATCGCCACACGGAGACGTTGAGTCATTGCTTCACCTGGCTCACAGGTTTAGGGTGTAGGGTTTAGGGTTTAGGTTCTTTAGGGTTTGCAAGGTAGGGATAGACCTGGCATGCATTAGGTTTAGGGCCCCGATAGTCATGGGCCCTTAATATGGTCTCTAACCTCCATTAAAGGGTTCTGATGTATGGGCTCTTAATTTGTATAGTATAAAAGGGGTGCAAAAGGGGTACTCTTCTAAGGGCCCATACTAACGGACCATGTAGCTAGCCTTAGAGTCTCAGGGACCCAAGCCCAAACAAGGGTGAACCTTTGTTTGGAGGATTATATATGTGTATATGTATATATATATATATATCACAAGCAAAAAGATGTTAAAATTTAGCCTTTTTCCGTTGGTTGTAATATAATTATATGCACCCAAACAGGTTAAAGGTTCACCCAGCCCCTAAGTAGCTGGGTTTCAGGTTCTGTGGGGGGACTGGTTTGGGTTTGGTGTCTGGGGCTTCAGCTTTGCAAGCCTAGGGCGCATGATGTGCCTCAATGAGCTGTAGCTTCAACTAGGGGCTCTAGGGTTTAGGGTATAGGGTCTAGGGCTTAGGGCTTAGCCTTTGGGGCGAAGCTGCTGTTCGCATCATGCCTGTCGCGTGTCTTCATGGGCGTGGGGCAAATGGCAACAACAAAAGCAGCAGCAACTGCTGTCAAGAGATGTACAGACAACAGCGGGCAACGAAGAGATGAAGAGAGAGCGCCTCTCGGTGGTGAGGGACGAGGGCAAGAAAACAGGAGAGAGAGAGGGAGAGAACGCGAGAACAAACCTGTGAGAAAGCAACCAGCATTCCGCCTAAATAAAGCCCCTCGGCTAATGCTACATACGTCGTAAGATCTACTCCGAGTTAGCCCCAACCTTATAGACCCAAAACCCCAAACCCTAAGCTACCCTAAACTCTAAATCCTAAACCCTCATACCCCAAACCCTAAACCTAAGCATAAACCCTAAACCCTTACCCCAAACCAACCTGAACCCCAAACCCTAAACCCCAAACCCTAAACCCAAAATCCCAAACCCTAAACCCCATACCCCCCACCCCCCCCAACCCCATCCCTAAACCCCAAACCCTAAACCCAAAACCCCAAACCCTAAACCCCATACCCCCCACCCCCCCAACCCCATCCCTAAACCCCAAACCCCAAACCCTAAACCCCAAACCCTAAACCCTAAACCCTAAACCCCAAACCCTAAACCCCAAACCCCAAACCCTTAACCCCAAACCCCAAACCCTAAACCCTAAACCCCAAACCCTAAACCCTAAACCCCATGAACCCCAAACCCTAAACCCCAAACCCTAAACCTCAAACCCTAAACCCTAAACCCTAAACCCTAAGCGCAGACGGTGGCTCCGAGGATGGAAAAGCAGCCGTGGGAGATGGTCGAGCCAATGAAGGACTTAGCTTGCTCGTGTCATGCTGCTAAGGTAGTACTGTGGGTTTAGGGTTTAGGGCTTCGGGCTTAGGGTTTAGGGTGTTTGTGATTGGGTAGTTTCTCTAGATTCAGGTCCCCGTTGGGTCCTGTTAATCAGGTGCTGTACTAACCTAGGCTGCCCAGCAACCTAGGCTTAAAAAAGGGGGCCCTTTTTTGCTCAAAGGGGTTTATAAGGGACCTAAACCCCCCAAAAAGGGAATAAGGGTACTACTGGGCATCCTAGTAACTTAAGGACACAACAAGGGACCCCAAAATTTGGAGAACTGTGTCCTGAATTAAGTGTGTCTTCGGAGAAAGTGTTGGGGCCTACCTTAAGATCCCCCAAAACCTACATGTTTGTAGGTTTTCTAAGAATCCTGTTCGGGATTTTAGAATAGGAACCTGCAAAAAAGTGCGTTTTGGGTTCTTAAGGTAGTGGTGAAACGTATGATGAAAGCCTGTCGAAGCTAACAGGTCATCTGCATCCACAAGTAAAAAGAATTGGGGGTCGCTGGACCGAAGTCTGTTGCGTGAAAGGGTTTAGGGTTTAGGGTTTAGGTTAAACGAGAACGGTTTGAATGGGTAGTTTCAAAGTGGATGTGGATAAATAAGTGCACTGATGTTTGACTCTCCCTGTCTTGGTTTAATTTCCATCCAAACCCAATGTTTGCTATTTTTGGAGCACGGGCAACAACCCAAATCCTAAACACCAAAACCTTGCAGCAGCTCGCGCTTCAGTTTTTAGGTGCACGTTGCTGGGTTGAAGAAGGGTTTGGGGTTTAGGGTTTAGGGTTTAGGATTTAGGGTTTAGGGTTTAGGGTTTGGGGTTTAGGGTTTGGGGTTTAGGGTTTCGGGTTTAAGGTCTAGATTGCACGGGCATTGTTGTAGCCTCAGCCCACACTGCGGCTCCGAGCTGCAAAGCCCTAAACCCTAAACCCTAAACCCTAAACCCTAAACCCCAAACCCTAAACCCTAAACCCTAAACCCTAAACCCTCCCCCAGGCAACTGCAAAGGCTGCTTCGTAGCTTGACTCCTCCAAGCTCTTAGACACCATAGAAGGGGTTTAGGGTGTAGGGTTTAGGGTTTAGGGCCCTGGTTGAGTGGGTGGTTGTAAGGTTTTGGGTGGAGGATGGATAAGGCTTAGGGCTTAGGGACTTGAACGTTCACTGCGGCCACTAACTGTTCCTAGGGTTTAGGGTTTAGGGTTTATTGGCCCAAAAGGAACTTAGCAAGACCGACAAAACTTTCAAGAACAAAAAGCCACAAGCCCCCCCAACCCCTCCCCGCCCCCCTCAAAGTATCTCAGACTGGTTTAGGGCTTAAGTTTAGGGTTGGGTAAGGTGTTCGGTCGCTATGTTGAATGTTCCAACGGGACGAGGAGCACTCGCACCAATAATGACGAAAATCAGCGCCATCATCTCCAGATCTCTTCGCATTTCCTCCTTCCGGTGGGTTTAGGGGTTTAAGGTTTGAAGCCTAAACCCTAAGCCCTAAACCCTAAACCCTTAGACTGAATCTTCGTACGGGAGGCTAATGCCCTATCAATGCCTTGGCTTTCTGCAAGGAAATCGTTCAGATGGGTCTCAGAATTCTCGACAAGAAGCTAGGTCTAGGGTTTAGGGCTCAGGGTTTGGACCGTCTAGGGTTTGTTTCATGGGCTTCTAAGACAGACCCGCTTACAGGTCCCTTCTGAAGATCCTTGCTTGAGGAATTTTTACTAAAACCCTAAACCCTAAACCCTAAACCCTAAACCCTAAACCCTAGTGGCTACACACGGATCTAGAAATGAACAGCACGTCCCATCATGGGCTCCCCTACTACCCGCCTCTATACTCCCCCCCCCCCCCCCCCCGCGGCCTCCCCAGGTTCCCCTAAAATTAAGGCCATTAGGGATAATTAATTATGCCTAAGGGTTTTTGGGTTTAGGGTTTAGGGTTTAGGGTTTAGGGTTTAGGGTTTAGGGTTTAGGGTTTAGGGGGAGTAGTATCGAGGGGGGTAGTAGGGAAACCCATGATCTTAGTGCTTTGCGCTAGGAGTCTGCAGAAACGAACTCCAGCGAGCGCCTGAACCCTAAACCCTAAACCCTAAACCCTAAACCCTAAACCCTAAACCCTAAACCCTAAACCCTAAACCCTAAACCCTAAACCCTAGCCTAAACCCTAAACCCTAAACCCTAAACCCTAAAGAATGTCCCCAAGCTTCTCTAAGGGTAGGTACATGGGTCGCTTAGTAGAAGGGCCCTTAACAGGGGACCCCTTTGGACCCAAGGGGCCCATACATCAGAACCCCTTCAAGGAGGTAAGGGGCCATATCCAGGGCCAAGAGCTTCTGGCAGCCCTCAACCCTAGACCCTAAACCCTGAAAACTAAAAACTAAAAACCCTAAACCCTAAACCCTAAACCCTAAACCCTAAACCCTAAAGGCTTTTTTTTTCCAGGTTTAGGGTTTAGGGTTTAGGGTTTAGGGTTTAGGGTTTAGGGTTTAGGGCGTATAGGAATTTGGAGCCTGTAGGGTTTATGAACATACTAGAGATGCTCTTCAACACTCTACAGAAAGACGTCCCTCAAAAGTGACTCTGCCTAGTTCAAGGGAACACAGGAGGGACCCTTATCAGGCACCTTAAGGAGCGTTTTAGGGGTTATTGTTAGGTAGGGGTTCTATAGGGGGAATCTAAACCCTAAACCCTAAACCCCAGACCCTCAACCCTCAACCCTCAACCCTAAACCCTAAACCCTTAAGGGTCCCTGCCAGGGGTCCCTCCTTGTCCCCCTTCAATAAATTTAGGTCGGCCCCCTGACCCTAAACCCTAAACCCTAAACCCTAAACCCTAAACCCTAAACCCTAAACCCTAAACCCTAAACCCTAAACCCTAAACCCTAAACCCTAAACCCAAACCCTAAACCCTAAACCCTGAACCCTGAACCCTGAACCCTAAACCCAAACCCTAAACCCTAAACCCTAAACCCTTTTTGCGCCTTGTCCGGCTTGAAGAAGCCTTCCATCGACCCGACCAGGGCAATCGTGCAGACGGGCATGGCAGAGCCTTGCAGTTTAGGGTTTAGGGTTTAGGGTTTAGGGTTTAGGGTTTAGGGTTTAGGGTTTAGGGTTTAGGGTTTAGGGCTCAGCGTCTAGTGTATGCACTTTGAGAGTGAACCCTAAACCTTGAACCCTAAACCTTAAACCCTAAACCCTGAGCCCTAACCCTCTAGTACGATACGCTTTGCTAGACCATAAGCCCTAAACCCGAAACCAAGCCATATAAGCAACACCCTAAACATCCTACACCCTGGACGTCATACCACAAGCATCCCGAAAGCCGTTTGGGGTTTAGGGGTTGAGGGTTAAGGGTTTAGGGTGGGCCCTTGAAAGGGGATCCCTTGTATAATCCTTCTATAGCCTAGACTACCCAAGGGCCCATACAGTCATGCCATAAACATCTTTGGAAGCCCTCGACGCTACGTCCCTGAAGCCCGAACGCCATTCCCGACCTTGGGGCAGCTCCATAATCCCTTAATATGGGGGTTTAGGGTTTAGGGTTTAGGGTTGAGGGTTTAGGACCCCCCCAGGGACTAAAATATAATAATCCCCATACTGCCCTTACTGGGAAGCATGTGCTTTGTCATTATGTTGGGGGTTCTCGCGCAAACAGAAGTAAACACTGAGCCCTAAACCCTAAACCCTAAACCCTAAACCCCAAACCCTAAAACCCTAAACCCTAAACCCTAAACCCTAAACCCTAGACATCCTGCACTGTCCTAAGGGGGGAGGGAGTCGAGCGCCAGTCAGTTTGGGGAACCGTCCACAACAGCGCCGAGGACGGCCGGCACGAAGAATGGCCACCTGCGCGGTTTGTTTAGGGTTTAGGGTTTAGGGTTTAGGGTTTATAGGGTTTATAGGGTTTATAGGGTTTATAGGGTTTATAGGGTTATAGGGTTTATAGGGTTTAGGGTTTAGGGTTTAGGGCTTAGGGTTCAGGGTTTAGGAGGTTTAGGGAGGGGTAGAGGGGCTTGGGATTAGGTGCTGAGGGCGCTTTAGGGTCTAAGGCAGGGATTTTTTTCTGGAGTTGCGCAGTTTCAGGCACATGCGTCAGTGTCGAAGCGTGCCGAACCTGTAACCCCACCCGCCCCACCCCCACGCCGGCAACCCCCAACATTCTCAAACCCTAAACCCTAAACCCTGAACCCCCAAACCCTAAACCGTAAACCCTAAACCCAAAAATCCCAGCCCAGGGGAGGGAGACTCCAACCTGTGGGGTCGAGCCAAGGATATATGGGGTTGAGGGCTTAGGGTTTAGGGTTTCGCGGTTTAGGGGCTTTGTCGCCGTTGGGTGTGGGGTTTAGGGTTCAGGGGTGCCCTAAACCCCATAAACCCTAAACCTTGAGGGTTTAGGGTTTAGGGTTAGGGTTTAGGGGGTTTACCCTAAACCTTATAAGGTTTAGGCAAAGGTTTAGGCAGAGGGAAAGAAACGCCAAGCTGCTCCGGCTTGTTGTAGCTCAGGAGACGTCCCATTGGCACCTGCAAAGGGGGCGAGGGCTGTGGCAGTTTGGGGGGGTCCCTTTGGGGTGTAGGCGTTGCTAAGGTTTAGGGTTTAGGGTTTAGGGTTTAGGGTTTAGGGTTTAGGGTTTAGGGTTTAGGGTTTAGGGTTTAGGGTTTAGGGTTTAGGGTTTTGAGTAACCCTTTTTGGGTACGTAATCTTCTGATGATACGGTACGAAGCAAACACGCACTTCAAAACAGGAACACCAAGCCAAGGGTTTTGCTAGGCGCAGCTAATGACCCTAAACCCTAAACCCTAAACCCTAAACCCTAAACCCTAAACCAGCCCTAAACCCTAAACCCTAAACCCTAAACCCTAAACCCTAAACCCTAAACCCAGCAACGCAGCAGACCAGCAGACAGGGGGCCTTGTAGTTCTTGGTGATCTCCTTCTCGCGATTGGCTTCCGCCTCCTTCTCTCGCTTAACCTCAAGTGGTGGTGGAGATTAGGGTCTAGGGCGTCAAGGGTTTAGTTAGGGGATCCGAAGTATGGGCCCTGAAGTTAAGTCGCCTGGTAGATAACCCTTCTATACGCTACACCAGAATACAGGGCCCCATGCTCCGGATCCCTGTAAATCTCTTTGAAGAAGGGTCAAGGGACCATATGAAGGATCCATGGTTCCAACCTTAGAATTAGGGCTTCGGGGATCTCAACTGCAAGGATGTGGGAGGGCCTCTCTTCTTGTATCTTCCTGCATAGTTTCGGCTCCATGCCAACGCAGGATCGGTTCAGATGCATTCCCTTTGGGGGGTTTGCGGTGTAGGGGTGGTGGGGTGGGGGGCGAGAGACATCAAGCCCAAAAACTTTAAACCCTAAGCCCTAAAAAACCCTTAACCCTAAACCCGAAACCCTAAACCCTCAACCCTAAACCCTAAAGGTTCAATGTCATTTCCTGGCAACACGCTCGCTCTCGGACTCCCCCGAATGGGTCGACGAGCGCTTCACCACCATCTGCAGGGTCTGATCGTGCCTTGAAAGGGTTTAGGGTTTAGGGTTTAGGATTCAGGGTTTAGGGTTTAGGGTATTCAGGTGCGCCATTTTTTCTTGTCCTTGACCTACTGGTTCCTGCAAGTGGTAGGGAATGAGGGAAGTCGGTACCCCAAGTACCTACGTACCACTGCTTTTTGGGCGGCTTGCCCCCGAGACTTGCGAACTTTCGGGTTCAGGGAATCAGGGTTTAGGGTTTAGGGTTTAGGGTTTAATTAGGGAAGTTGCTTTTTGGGGTACAATGAATCAGTTCCTACAACCCTTAAACCTAAATAACCCTGGACCTTGCAGGGAGACAACACAGCTGGTCTCCTTGAACCCGGATGGGTTTAGGGTTCAGGGTTCAGGGTTTAGGGTTTACGAACCCGAATCCGCAGTTGTTCAGGTTTCGGGCTGGGGGGTTTAGGGGGTAAACCCCAAGCCCTAAAACCCTAAACCCCTTAGTGCTTAGGGCACCCCGCCCCACCCCGCCTACAGCCCTTTTGTGTGTTGCGCTTTACACCCGCAAATTCTAGAAGAGGTGCTGCGGGCGCTGGCTCTGTGCCCAGGCTGCTATGGAAGGGTTTGGGTTGTAGGTACGGGTTTTAGGGTTTAGGGTCGAGGCTTGCCTCACACGAAACCCTGAAAACAACCCTACACCCGGTTTAGGGTTTAGGGTTTAGGGTTTAGGGTTTGGGGTTTCGGGTTTAGGGCATGTTGAGACGATGGGATGGCCAAGGTGCGGCAATCCAGGTGCATTAGTGTTGGCCTCCTCCTCCTCGTCGGCCTGTCGGGTAGGGTTTAGGATTTTCGGGTTTATAGCCTAAACACTAAACCCTAAACCATAAACCCTAAACCCTAAACCCTAGACCCTAGACCCTAAACCCCAAACCCTAAACCCTACACCCCAAAAGGGCTTAGGATTCAGGGTTCAGGACTTAGGTGTTTAATCCTGGCTCGGAGACAAAGGGTTCGGGTTGAGGGTTTAGGGTTTAGGGTTTGGGGTTTGGAGTTCGGGGTTTGGGGTTTAGGGTTTAGGGTTTAGGGTGAAGCCCTCACTTCTAGCCTAAGAGACGAGCCTATCAGGGCAAGATGGCATGTTGCAACAAACAGCCAAAGCAAAAGAACTTCTTGGTCTCTCAAGGACCCGAAACCTTAAACCCTAAACCGCAGACTAGGACATACCCTAAACCCTAAACCCTAGATCCTAAACCCAAAACCTAAACCCTAAAACCGCAAACTGTGACATCCTTCCTTGTTCAACGCACGGAGCGTGAAGTCTTTGCATGTGGGAGACGCGTAGTCCCCATGCCTTTGTATGCGTGCCGGTGACACTTAGGCCTGCCCTCCCTCCTGATCCGAAGTCCAGAGCGTCAAATTGTCCCTCAGAAGCTGCATGATGAGAGTCGAATCCTTACTGGCTGAGTTCTCTAAGAAACCACAGGTTTTGCTTTTGGGCGCTAAGACGGGGATCACGTTGGCCAGAAAGGTTGAAATGATACTCACACAGCACCGAAGAATCTTTGTAGGAATCCTCGGCCACGTTGTCCAACTCGGCAATGGCGTCCTCGAAGGCTTGGCGCGCCATCTTGCAAGCGTCATCCGGCAATTGCAGCACCTCGTACCTTGGCTGACTTCTGAACCCCTGCCATAAAAGTCCATCTTCTAGGCTCCTTAATGTAGGATTTCTACAAAACCCCAAAGGTTCTAAAGTCCTAAAGTCCTATAAGAGCCAGCCAGAAGAAAGCCAAGGTACATGAACACGGAGTAGTTGAGAGCCAAACCGAGGCGGATGGGATGGGTAACCGCCAAATCTTTCTTGGCCACGTCCTCCGCCTCTTGGTACGCTTGGCGGGCTTTCTCCGATGCGCTGCTCTTGGCGTCGCCGTCACGGAACTCGGCAATGTAACCTTAGTTGCTGAGCTCATAGAAAAGCCCCAGAAAAAGTGTACGCTTTCAGTTCTTTCTGGGGTTTTCGTACCCCAAGAAGGCCAAGAAGTGTAAAGTGTACTCAGCTACTAAGTAACGGTAGTAGTCTGCCTTCATCTTCTGATAGAAGACCTTCGACTCACCATTCTTTGCCTTAGTTGTCCAGTACCTAGCTGTTTTAAAGAGTATACTAACCCAAAAAGGTTAAAGGTCACCTACTCTACTACTAACGCTAAACTCTAAACCCTAAACCCTAAACCCTAAACCCTAAACCCTAAACGCAAAACCCTAAACCCTAAACCCTAAACCCTAAACCCTAAACTAAGTTGCCTGGGCGATGAGCTTGCCATCCAGGACTTCGAGGATGTTGTCGCAAATTTTCTGAAGCTCAGCCTCCACCTTCTGGCAATACTCCTGGTTTAGGGTTTAGGGTTTAGGGTTTAGGGTTTAGGGTTTAGGGTTTAGGGTTTAGGGTTTAGGGTTGAATAAGGGAATGAGGTACCCTCTATTATCCCTTGAAGGCTTAAAGGGCATGATCTAGGGTCCGAATTCCCTCATCCCCTACCAAGAACCCCCTAAACCCTAAACCCTAAACCCTAAACCCTAAACCCTAAACCCTAAACCCTAAACCAGGGGGTCCTTGGCCATGGCAGCGTTCTCGGTGTTGCCTTTGGACTTCTCCTTCTGCTCGACGCTGGTGATGATGCGCCAAGCAGCGCGGCGGGAACCCACGGTGTTCCTTATAGTGAGCTAAATGGGTTCAGGGTTTAGGGTTTAGGGTTTAGGGTTTAGGGCTTATAGTGAGCTTAGGGAACCCTAGCAAAAAGCAAAGGGTTTAGGGTTTGGGGTTTAGGGTTTAGGGTTTAGGGTTTAGGGCTTACTAGTACCAACCAAAAAAAGTCTTCCCAAGCATCCCTAAGGCTCTTGTAGGCCACGGACAGCAAGTTGCGCTCCTCCACGGAGAGCTCCGAATTCGCATTGCCCACGTTCTTCATGTAGTCTGCCATCTCATCATACCTTATAGTTGCTCCCTAGACCCTAAACCCTAAACCCCAAACCCTAAACCCTAAACCCCAAACCCTAAACCCTAAACCGTAAACCCTAGCTGCTGAGTTCATGAAGCCCCAAAAACGTCTACACTTTCAGTTCTATAGGGGATCATAGTACTCCGAAAAGTGTAAAGTGCAATCATTCAGCTACTAAGATACCGCTCTGCCTGCTCTGCGAGCTTGGCGAAGTACACGTCCTTCTCGCGCGCCATGGCTGCGAAAGGCCTTGAGAACAAGGGTCTCACAACGAGCAACGAACACAAGGTCGGACAGAGTGCTCCAGCTTGAGCCAAGAGGTTACGGGGCGGACATCCTTCCACATCCCCTCATGCCCCCACAAGATGAGTGGCATGCCATCTGACTGAGGTGCAAAACCAAACTAATCCCTAAACCTAAACCCTAAACCCTAAAACCCTAAGCTTTCACCGCTCTTGGAAGGTTCTTGAACGTTCGGATTCTTCACGGTCCTTGTGGAGAAGAACGAAAGTGCAACTTGAAAATTGCCCTAAACCCTAAACCCTAAACACTAAACCCTAAACCCTAAACCCGAAACCCTAAACCTCAACCCTAAACATCAGCCCCTCAAGGCCCGAAGGCTTCAAAAAACTCCCAAAGCGCCGAAGACAGGATGGGCCTTGTGCGAAGACTCCTGCGCGGCAACCAGAGCGTAGTAGGTGCCTTTCTTCCTTGGCCCGGCTAGGGTTTAGGGTTTAGGGTTCAGGGTTCAGGGTTCAGGGTTTAGGGTTTAGGGTTTTGGGTTTTGGGTTTAGGGTTTTGGGCTTTTGGGCTTTTAGGGTTTAGGGTTTCTAGGGTTTAGGGTCTAGGGTCGAGGGCAATTAGGGCTTTGGGTGGTTGCAGCCAGGTCTGGCGATACTTACCCTACTTGTAGCGACCCACTAAATCTCCAGGTATGGTATGGGGTGTAGGGTTTAGGGTTTAGGGTTTAGGGTGTTGGGGTGTAGGGTTAAGTTATGGGTTAAGGGGGTTTAGGGTTTGGGGTTTGGGGTTCGGTTTAGGGTTTCGAGGTTTAGGGTTTATTCTGGGTTCCCCGAATACCAGCCTCTATACTACCCTCCACCCCCCTAGGTTCCCCCCTGACACAACCTTAATTAGGCTCAATTACCCCTAAATAGCCTTAATTATGGGGGCAACCTAGGGCTGGGGGGGTAGTATAGAGGGGGGTAGTAGGGGACCCTAAACCCTAAACCCTACACCCTAAACCCATGAGTTTATGTCTAGGGTTTCCGGGTTTAGGGTTCTGGGCTTGGGGGCGCTGGGTGTACGCGTCTTCGCCCCTACAAGCATCTGCCTTCCGGGCTGGTCATGAGGCAATCCGGGAGCTTATGAGCAGATGCGAAAACCCTATACCCTAAACCCTAAACCCTGAACCCTGACCCTGGACCCTGAACCCTGAACCATAAACCCTAAACCCTTAACCCTCTAAATCCTGAACCCTAAATCCCAAACGCTAAACCCTGAACCCTGGATGCTTAGAGCCCCCCCCAGACCCTCAACCCCTAGGTCCTAATCAAGCCCTCCGGCTTTAAGGGCCTCAAACAATTCCGAGGTTTAGGGTTTAGGGTTTAGGGTTTAGGGACTCGCCAGTTCCGTGGGGCTTACTCGCCGGCTAGTTGTTATTGGGCTTCGGGGTGTCAATATTAGTATTCCCCAAACAGGGGGTACCCCTTGTATACCCCGAGTAGAATAGAATGCCCTTAATTCAAGAGACCCTCAACCCTAAACCCTAAACCCTAAACCCTAAACCCCGAAACTTCCCGATTTTCGGAGCCCCCAACTTAGGGACGGAGGCTGGGGGTACTTATAACCCGGTCTTTGAGTGAAAGAGATGCGGAACAGGGCTTCATGGGGGGTGCAGTTCTTAACCAACAGTCGCACCCATTCTCCCATCAAAAGCTCAACAGATTGTTCGGGTTGAGGGTTTAGGGTTTAGGGTTTAGGGTTTACCCTTTAAAAGGGCATGTTTGAAGAAGGTGGCAACTGGCAACAATCTGTTGAGCTTTTGATGGGAGAATGGATGCGATTTTGGTAGGTGAGGGCTGTCGGTGTGCTCGTTAAAAAAACCCTAAACCCTAAACCCTAAACGGGATGCTGAAGATTTGGAGGCTTGCCGGCAAGTGGTTGGCTGGTTGAAAATGCGAAAGAGAGGTCTGAAAGTTGAAAAAACTGGCGGAAAGCGGGGGGGGGGGGGGGGGGGCTATGCTTGTGGAGAACTTGTTTGGTGATTCGGGGGTGGTGGTGGGGCTGAAGTGGTCTGCTGTCGGAGAAAGTAGTTGGGAAAATTGAGTGGGAAATGGGGCTTTCGCATATTGGGGTGGGCGGGGGGGGGGGGGGGGGGGGGGGGGTAAAGGTGCGGTGCCAGACACCTAAATAGGCAAGACATCCTCTGACTCTTATAAACCCCCCTTCAGTCCTTCAAGCAGGTTAAAAGTAAACCTATAATTGTGGTTCTCGAAGTACCCCATGAACCTCCACTCGACGCAAGAGAAACCTAGGAATAAAACGTGTGCCCTTTTTGGTTTCAAGGGGCTTAGTAAGGGAACCTAAGGGAATAAGGGCCTACTCTGTGTCCTAGTAGCCCTAAACCCTAAACCCTAAACCCTAATCCCTAAACCCTAAACCCTAAACCCTAAACCCGAAACCCTAAACCCTAAACGCAGTAATTGAGGCAGAGCTTCTCCATGAGCGAGGCGTGGGTGCCCTTCTCCACCAGGGAGCCCCGGCTTAGCACGTAGATGAGGTCGGAGTTTCGCACGGTACCTTAGTGAAATGGGGTTTAGGGTTTAGGGTTAAGGGTTTAGGGTTTAGGGTTTAGGGATTAGGGATTAGGGTTCAGGGTTTCGGGAGTTGCGCACGGTACCTTGGTGAAACGGTTCACCCTCTAGGGTTTGGGGTTTAGGGTTTGGGGTTCGGGGTTTGGGGGTTTAGGGTTTAGGGGATTGCCCACGGTACCTTGGTGAAACGGTCCCCTGGGTCCTAAAAACCCAGAAGGGATCAGGGTGTAGCCCTAAACCCTAAACCCTGGACCCTAAACCGTAAGCCTAATCCTATAGGGATCAGGGTTTCACGCTAAACTCTAAACTGTTAGGCTTTATGGCTTAGGGTCCTAATCCCTAAAACCCAAACCCCAATCCCTACTAAGCAGCCACAGACCCTCGGCCCCTTTATTGTTGCAAGAGGACAAGCTTACGCTTTGGGCTTTTAGGGTTTAGGGTTTAGGGTTTAGCGCTTAGGGTTTATAGGACTGACTTCCGGGAAGCCTGTGAGGGGAGTGGGGTGTGGGCGGGGGGGGGCCGGGTGGAGCAAGGGATAGGTGACACCCCACACCCGACAAGTGCTAACGGCTTGATGTTTGTTGTTTTGGGTCTAGGGTTTTAGAACTTCAGGGTTTACAATGTCAGACTCAGGGCTCAAAGGGTTTAAGAACTTAGGGGTACGAGTTCTTACTACCTAGGGTTTATTGGCTGAAAGGGCTTGGCACACTTCGGGCTTAGGTTTCGGTACGCTGACCAGTAGGGTTCCAAGACTTCTCAAAATCCGCCAGAGCCGCTGAGGCGGTGAGCAATGCTCACAATTCCCAGGCCCTCGGTCGTGTTTGCGCTGATGCTGTCAATGGTGGCCTGCCAGACCGATTCGTGTGGGAGTTAGGCTTGGTTGCTCTTTAGCCCCCCCAATAAAAGTTGAACTTTTAGCTCCCTTCATATGAAAACCCAAAAACTCATAAAGTGCTGTAAAGTCCCACCTAGTAGGGTTTGGGGTTTCGCTTCGGTGCAAACTGCGTAGGTCCAATACCAACAAGCCAAGAACCCTGGTGACCTGGCTCCTTTTCTGCTTAGTGGGGGGTCTGGTCAGGAAACGGCGAGTAGCCTCTAGAAAAAGGAATGCGGGTACCACACGCGGCTCCAGACAATTTCTAGTCCTTCTTATCATCCCTCTTCCAGTGACAACCCTGAAACTAAAATTCCTAAACTTTGGACCTAGATCCTAATAGCTTAACCGTACACACGTTTCTTCAAATGGGGGTTTCCGAAACTGGGGGTACCCTTTCTGCGGTTTCCGATATTGAGATTTAGTATTCGGAGGGTACAATAGGGGTACCCCTATTTTCCAAATCTAAGTTGGACTCGCTCGTAAGCCCCCCAACCCCCAACGCATTTCTCACTCGGTAGCCTCCTTGCCTCAGCACTCTAGTAGAGCCCGAGAAACCCTAAACCCGAAACCGTAAGCACTCTCTTCAATGTGGTCGGAGTTCTAGGTTCAAGGCGAAGGGCTTCTGACAGCTGACAAAGGTGGGGTTTGGGGTTTAGGGTTTAGGGTTCAACCCCGGACCCTAAACCCCAAACCCTAAGAGAAACACGCAAAAACAAAAAAAACGGGGCGCCCCACAGCGTACCTTTCTGACCCCTAAACCTTGCTGCACGCGCAACATGTCGAAGCCTAAATCCCTCAGCCCCAAGGACTATCAAACCGAAGCCCTGAAGGTTGAGCTTGTCTGAGAATAACTTACCATACCCCAAAACCCATGCCCCTTAACCTGTAAAGGTATGATATAAATGGAGTCTAAGGGAGGATTTTACCATACCCCTTAAGTTCTTTAAAGGGGTAATGCCCTAGGCGTATGTTGAATATGTCTTAGAGTTTGGGGGTCAGGAACTGGTGCGCCTGGATCATCTTCTCAGATGTGTTGTCAAGGGCACTGGTGGCCTCGTCCAAGAAGAGGAAGGAAGCCTCCCCCCGCTGCAGTTCAAGGGGTCAGGGATCGAGGGTTCAGGGGCTTAGGGCTTTGGGAAGCCCAAAACCCTAAACCCTAAACCCTAAGCTCTGAGCCCGGTTCTTTGCGTTGAGGGATTAGGGCCTCGGGCTGTAGATCGCCAAGTTGGAGATTTCTTGTATTTGCTTCTTGAAATAAATCAAAGGCTCAGGGGTTTGGGATCTTAGGGTTTAGGGTTTAGGGTTTAGACCCTAGGGTTTAGGGTTTGGTACCGATATCTCTTAGGTAAGTTACGTTGTCCCATAGGATGGGCCCTTGAAAGGGAACCCCTGTATATACCCGAAATATATACCCTCTACAACCGAAGGGCGCATACTTCAGAACCCTTGCAAGGAGGTAAACCCTACACCTGAAACCCTAAACCCTAAACCCTAAACCCTAAACCCTAAACCCTAAACCCTAAACCCTAAACCCTAACCTTGCAAGGAGGCAAGGGACCCTTGCAAGGGCCCATATAACTACCCTTAGAATATCGGAATCTGTTGGTTCCGGGAAGGGCTTCGGATTTTATGGGATTTAGGGGCTAGGGTTTAGGGTTTAGGGTTTAGGGCTTAGGGGTTTGAGGTTTAGGGTTTGCGGTTTAGGGTTCAGGGTTTAAGGTGTAGGGTTCAGGGCTCAGGGATGTCATGGGTTTTACGCGATCTCGTCCGACACGCGATGCGCTCAGTTGCGGGTTCGGGGCGCGCTGAGGCCCTAAGGTTTCAGGCCTAAGCCCGAAAACTAAGCTGTGACCGGATTAGGGTTTAGGGCTTAGCGGGCTCAAAGCCTATCAGCCGAAACCCTCAAGTCCCCTTTTTAGGGTTTAGGGTTTAGGGTTTAGCGTTTCGGGTTTAGGGTTTAGGGTTTAGGGATTAGGGATACCGGGGTCTGTTTAGAGGAACCTCTACAGCAGCGTATTTAATGACAGGAGGCCTAGCTTTCCATGTACAAATTCTTGCCATCACCCCGCCTTCTTCAGCAAGGCTCGGGCGATGGCAATGCGCTGCTTCTGACCTGGCGCGGGCTTAGGGGTTTAGGGTTTAGGGATATGTCGGCCCCAGGCCGGGTGTGGGGTTTAGGGTTTAGGCCCTAAAACCTTGAAACCCCAAACAAGTTGCATCCTAAACCCTAAACCCTTAACGAGCAACCGATGGAAGGCCTGCTAGGACTTTCGAAGTGGGGCCAGCTACTGGGCCACCTTTCCGAGGATAGGGGATCCAACGTATGGGCCCCCTAACCCTTGTTTTCCGTATACAGAACAAGGGGCCCATGCTTCAGATTCCCCAGAAAACTCTCTGAAAAGAAGGAAAAAAAGGACCAGACGAAGGGGCCCAAGAGTTCCAGCCTTAGAAGTATGCTCTTTCCGAGGAGGGTGGTCAGTAAGGGTGGTTTTAGGGATTCTGGGAGACTTGCTTGAAGGTGTGAGAGAGGGTTTTTTGGGTTAAGGGCTTCAGGGTTTAGGGGAAAATTTCACCTCTTCAGCCTAAACCCCACAAGGTCGAGCCCTCCCTAAACCCGAAATCAGCGCAGAATGGAGGGTGAGGTCTCTCCCGGGTTTAGGGTTTAGGGTTTAGGGTTTTAGGGTTTAGGGTTTAGGGTAGAGTAGAGGCCCCACCCCCCACCCCCCCCCCCCCCTCCGCCGCCCCCCGTCTCCCCTCCTCCCGATAGCTGACCGCCGCCGCTGCCCACGAAAGTGTTGTACCTCAGAAGCGTCGGGGTTCAGGGTTCAGAGGGTTTAGGGGGCTTAGGATGTGAGGCGTTTCGGGTTCAGAGTTTTCAGGGGCTTAGGGCTTGAGGGGCTTTGGGTTTAGGGTTTAGGGGTTAGGGTTAAGGGGTTTCGTTTAGGGGTTTAGGGTTCAGGGGGTTTACGGTTTGGGGCGTGTGGGGTTTCAGGGGCCGGGTTCTTGTTCAGGAGGTTTAGGGTTGTGGTAGCTGTATACCATATACGTATATATATATATATTTATTTATTTATTTATTTATTTATATGTATATGTATGTATGTATATACAGAAGTGTATACATATATGTGGGGAGCTCAATAGATAAGAGTCCCGTTTTGGGTGCCCAAAAAGTATGCCACCCGGGTTGTTTGGGGTTTAGGGTTTAGGGTTTAGGGTTTAGGCTCTCTGAAGGTCCCTCTGCAACCGTCGCACACAGAGGCATCCTGCAGAGCCCACATGGAGATGCAGGCAAAGGGTTCTCGAGGGTTAGAAGTAGGAGAAGTGCTACTTGGTGTACAACCTTACTTAGGGTTTAGGGTTTAGGGTTTAGGGTTTAGGGTTTAGGGTTTGGGTTTAGGGTTTGGGGTTTAGGGTTTAGGAGTTAATTCAGTGTTAGGGTTTAGGAGTTAGTTGGGGTTTAGGGCAAGCCATGAACCGCCAAGTACACCTGGGGGTTGGCAGCAGGGCCATAGGCCCGTAGGGCTTAACCCTAAACCCTAAACCCTAAACCCTAAACCCTAAACCCTAAACCCTAAACCCTAAACCCATCTCCAGCAATGGGCTGAGGTTTGCAGGGCGTGATGGCCTCTGAACCCTATAAGCCTCAAAGCCCCGAATGGGATTTTTCGGTTCTTGGTTGGGGCTTGTTGGGTGTGGGGGTCTAGGGTTTCGGGTTTAGGGTTTAGGGGGTCTAGGGTCTAGGGTTTAGGATTTAGGGTTTTAATTTAGGTTCAGGGAGTTCCTGAGAGTTCTTGAAAGCCAGGTGCTTGTTGGGCAGGCCGTCCACGAAGCCCAGCTGGGCATCCTCACAGGCCTTGGTGAAGTCCTCAACAGAAGGGTGGCCCTGAATCCTAAGGGTTTAGGGTTTAGGGTTGAGGGTTGAGGGTTTCAAGTCTAAACCCTACAGCCTACACCCGATCTGCGCGCAGGATCAAGGGGACTAGGCGAGTATAATGGATCCTACTTAATAGCCCTACTTACCTGGGGGACGACATGAAGCCTAATACGGGTTTATGGTCCATGTACCCTAGTACAGTGTATAGGCTCACAATGATCAGGGTTTAGGGTCCAGAGTCTAAGGTTACAAACACTCCTCTACAACCCGAGATTTACCTTGCGCCCGTCGTCGGAGACCCCCTAGCCCCTAAACCCTAAACCCTAAACCCTAAACCCAATCCTAAGTAGGACCCTAAACCCTAAACCCCTAAACCCCTAAACCCCTAAACCCCTAAACCCTAAACCCTAAACCCTAAACCCTGATTTGCGGTACTTTCTTTTTGTTTTAAACCCTACCTCTTAGTACCCAGGAACCTCAGAGTCGACAGTCCTCCTGGGGGTTAGGGTTTAGGGTTTAGGGTTTAGGGTTTAGGGTTTAGGGTTTAGGGTTTGGGTTTGGGGTTTAGGGTTTGGGGTTTGGGGTTTAGGGTTTAGGGTTTAGGGTTTAGGGCCTTCTCTCGGGGCGGCAGGGGTTCTGGGGGCCGGGGGGGTCCTCCTTGCTGGCCGAAGGATTGCCCTGCATGATGTTGTGGCGGATCGAGCTGGCAAACAGCACGGGCTCCTGCGTTGGAGGCCGATGAAGCGATAGGGGGTGGGTGTAGGGTTTAGGGTTTAGGGTTTAGGGTTTAGGGTTTAGGGTTTATGTAGGGTTTTAGCGGTTGCGACGCGCAGAGCGACAAAAAGGGCAAAACTTTCTGAGATCGCTGTTGTCGAAGTTTGGATTCGGGACACGCCTGTCGACCCAACCGAAAAGCGAACCCAACCCCCAACCCTGGTAACCCTAAACCCTAAACCCTAAACCCTAAAACCCTAAAGTGCTCCTAAGTAGGTCCACGGCTTAGGGCTAAGGGCTTTCGGCTTCGGAGCTTGACTGGCCAGAACCCTAACAAACCCTATCAGACCCGAAAAGCCTCCATAAACCCTATAGACCCTATAACCTCTATAAACCCTGCAAACCCTGAAAACCCTAGAACCCTCAACCCTGAACCCAAAAAGAATGCTGAAACAAATGCAAAAAAAACAAAACAAGATAATAACAATAATCATAATAAAGACCTCAAGACCATATGGACGCCAGGTTCAGTCCAAAGGCTTGCTGTTACTAGCGGAGGCTTTTCTTGGTAAGGGATGCCATGGGGGTTTACGAAAACTAGGGTTTATAGGGTTTAGGAAAATAGGGGACCTAACATAGGACCCCCTATTGTAGGTTCCCCTTATGGTATGGACCCCAGTAAGGTACCCCGAATATCGGAAACCCCCCAATAGGAGGAACCCAAACCCTAAACCCCAAACCCTAAACCCTAAACCCCTTTGTGGGTTCAAAAACCCTGCGTTTGGGATCGGCTCCTGCCCCACGTAGCCAATGCACCTGCAGCACGGTGTCTTTGTTCCCTGAACCCTGAACCCTGAAAACCCTCAACCCTGAGATTCAAGTGAAAAGCCACTCAGGCAAGAGCTTCAACCAAAAAAACAGTGCCCTAAACCCCCCCCCCCCTCAAAAAAAAAAAAAAAACAAAAAACTAAAAATACCCTTTAAGGGATTATGTAGGGTACCTCAGTCCCTCATTCCCTACTAAGAACCAGCCAGGCTTCACAGTTAACAGCTCAAGGGCTGAAGCTTGTGGCTCCTGAAACCCCTAAACACCTCAAAGCCCCCTTAATCCCCAAGCGTTTAAAAGTTTCCGAAACCCTAAACCCTAAACCCTAAACCCTAAACCATAAACCCTAAACCCTAAACCCTAAACCCTAAACCCTAAACCCCAAGCCTGATGGGCTTGCGACCCCCAGCTTGCCACGCCTGCGCAATGACGAGATCTTGAAGCTGGTCATGTTCCTGGGGCTCCAGACCAACTCATGAAAAGGAAAGGGAATTCATAAAACATGGCAAGGGTTTAGGGTTTAGGGTTTAGGGTTTAGGGTTTAGGGTTTAGGGTTTAGGGTTTAGGGTTTAGGGTTTAGGGCTTAGGGCTTAGGGTTTAGGGTTTAGGGTTTAGGGTTTGGCAGTATCTGAGCTGTGCTTGGAACCCTGTGACTCCCTTATAAGGAAAGAAGGGACATGAAAAAACACCCAAGGCACAACCCAGAGTAGTAAAACAGCAATAGAAATAACCATAACAGTACTGGCAAAAGCAGTATTTCAAGGACAACACCAATATCATCAATATTGTCGGCCTTCGGTTTGAAAAAATAATGACGATGACAACAATAAGAAGCATCATACAAACAAACACACTACTGGCTGAGAAGCAGAACTTGAACAACTCATTGGGTTTGTCGTGTCTCGAAGGCTGGAGCATGAGACTACGTGGGAAGGGCCTAGGTGTCTCGGGAAGTAACAGGTCTTGTGGTTTAGTGTGCGTAGGCTTTTCAAACCTTCATCGTGGGTGAAAAGTAGGGTTTCTAGATTGGCCCTGAAAATCTCTGAAAAAACATACTCCTCAACATGAGCCTCTTAAACCCAATAAGGGAAAATAAAGAATTTACCAAGTGCCGGCCTACCTAGCCTTGTAGGGCTTGTGGGGTCAAGAGTCCGCTTGAGCTTTGTAGGGGGGAAAAGGGTTGGGACTGCGACTGTGGGCGGGGTTTCCAAACGTGTTGGGGGGATATACCCTGCAAACTAAACCCAAAACCCAAAACCCCAAAGCTTAATCCCCTAACCCTAGACCCCAACCCTAAACCCTAAACCTGAACCCTAAACCTTAAACTACAGGCCAAAAACCTCACAGAGTCGAAATGCTTGAGGCCAGCACACTCGCACGACTAGGTCCTACTTCGGCATGGCTGTGTAGGGTTTGAAGGTTTAGGGCTGAAAGGTCATGGTTTAGGGTTTAGGTCTAGGGTTTAGGGTTTAGGATTTAGGGTTCAGGGTCTAGGGTTCAAGGTTCAAGGTTTCAGGGTTTTCGGGTTTAGGGTCCAAGGTTTCAGGGTTTTAGGGTTTGGGGTTTTAGGGTTTAGGGTTTGGGGTTTGGGGTTGTGTGAACTCAAGAAAGGCAGCGACATGGAGAAACTCGACCGCCTGTCCAACTCATACACCTCTAGCCGCTGAAGCCTTAGCCCTGGACTTCAACCCCCCCCCCAAAAAAAAAATAAAAATTAAAAATTAAAAACAAGCCTAACATCCAAATGCAAAGTTTTTAAAGCCCGAAGCCCCAAAAAGCCGTAAAAAACCTACACCCTGAAACCGTGCCACCACCTCAAACCCCCAAACCCCAAACCCGAAACCCCAAACCCCAAACCCCAAACCCAAAACCCCAAACCCCAAACCCTAAACCCCAAACCCTAAACCCTAAACCAAACTTGCCGCAGTCTCTGGCCGTTCACCAACACCGCGCCCGAGTCTGGGTCATAGAAACGCTCCAGCAGAGCCATGACCTAAGGGTCATCAAGGGTTTAGGGTTTAGGGTTTAGGGTTTAGGGTTTAGGGGTTAGGGGTTGGGGGTTAGGGTTTAGGGTTTAGGGTTTAGGGTTTAGGGTTTAGGGTTTAGGGTTTAGGGCCAGGACCTTAGGGTTGTTTGTTGAGGGTTTCTGAGGTCTCGACTGTAAGGGGTTTAACTTAAAAGGTTTTAAAGGGTTGTTTTTAAGGCCTTTAAAGGTCTGAAGGGAGGGCTTTAAGGGCTTTGAGGTTTTGCTTTTCTCGAAGGGGGTAGGGTTACCCGTTACCCGTTACCCTAAACCCTAAACCCCAAACCCCAAACCCCAAACCCCAAACCCTAAACCCTAAACCTTCTGTGGACAGGCCACCGTGGACTTGCCCGAGCCAGACTCGCCAACCACAGCCACCTGAGCCGGGCCATGGGAGATTCAGGGCTTTAGGGTTTAGGGTTTAGGGTTTAACCCTAAACCCTAAACCCTAAACCCTAAACCCTAAACCCTAAACCCTAAACCCTAAACCCTAAACCCTAAACCCTAAACCCTCAACCCAAACTAAACCCTAAGCCCTAAACCCAAAGCCCTAAATTTTAGGGTTTAGGGTTTAGGGCTTAGGGTCATCGTTATATCGAGGGAATGTCCCGGGCCTGCGAACTCAGGGGTATGGGAACCCTGAGCACCCAAGATCTTAAGCAGCAAGGCTAAGTTGGGGCGGATTGGGGGCTTGCAGTTCAGGGACCAAGAGATAAGGGTTTAGGGTTTAAGTTTAGGGCTTAGGCTTTAGGGTTCCGGGTTTAGGGTCTAGGGTTTCGGGTATAGGGTTGAGGGTTTAGGGCTTAAGCTTAGGGGATTAGGTTCGGATTTGTGGACACCAGACAGATCCCATGCCCAGGCCCCATGTGCCCCAACAACCTCAGCCTCTTGATAGTGGGCCCGCAACTTACTTAGTACTTACCCTTCGAAAACCCTATTTCCCAAACCAAACCCGTAGCCCTAAACCCTAAACCCTAAGCCCTAAACCCTAACCCTAAACCCTAAACCCTAAACCCTAAACCCTAAACCCTAAACCCTAAGCCCTAAGCCCTAAGCCCTAAGCCCTAAGCCCTAAGCCCTAAGCCCCTAGCCCTAGATACCCCCAGACCCCCAAAATTAAACCCTAAACCCCAAACCGACTCAAGGGCCTAGGGTTAGGGTTTAGGGTTCAGGGTTTAGGGTCTAGGGTATAGGGTTTAGGATGGGTTTGAGGAGGTGAAAATTTTGGGGGTGGGGGGGGGGGGGGGGGGGGGGGGGGGGGGGGGGGGGGGGGGGGGGGGGGGGGGGGGTGGGGGGGTAAGGTGGGTCGGTGCACATTTTCCCCCCCCCCCACCCCACCCTCCCCCACCACACCCCCCCCCCCGACCCCCCCCCTCCCCCACCCCCACCCACCTGTCTTTTTGGCTTGAGCTTGTCCTGGTGCTACCCCCTACCCCCCCCCAAACGTTTCACAAAACTCTGCCGAGCAGGCTGGGATGATCTTCGAACCATGCGAGTGGGTTTGGACCTCTCAACTATGCTCCAGCGGGGTCGGCGGCTTGAGCCGGAGGCTCTTAAATTTAGGGTTTAGCGTTTAGGGTTTAGGGTTTAGGGTTTAGGGTTTAGGGTTTAGGGTTTAGGGCAACCCAGTCCTCATGCCTTCTTTGTGTGTCTTTCTGCGCTGCGGGGCGGGAGAGCTCTCCATGCCCTAGAGTAAAAGGATCTTAATGGGAACCCCAGACAGGGAACCCTAAGAATAGAGTAGGAACATAAATTAGGGTTTAGGGTTTAGGGTTTAGGGTTTTAGGGTTTAGGGTTTAGGGTTTAGGGTTTAGGGTTTGGGGTTTAGGGTTTAGGGTTTAGGGTGTTGAGTTTAGGGTTAGGGTTTAGGGTTTCGGGTTATGAGGACCCTGGTAGGTATCTTCCTAGTATATCCCTGCGATAGTCTTGGGGTTCCCTGTTTGGGGTTCCCATTAAAGTCCCTTTATGTAGGATTTGCACCCGCCCTCACGAGTAGGCGCTGGCTTGTTCTGAACCCAAAACCTAGCAAGAGACCCGTGGTCACCCTTTTTTTTGCGTGGAGTTTATGAGGGAACCTTTCCCTTAAAGAAGGTAAAAAGGGTTTTGGGTTTTGGGGGTTGGGGATTAGCGAGTACTACGGGGCATCTGGAACACGAAGCCCCGAATCTTAGGGATTTTGGGGGCTGACTGAAGCTCACCACGGCACCTTCTGGCCACGCTGGATGGTCAGGGAAAGGCCGTTCAGCACCTGCCGAAATTTGGAATCCTAACACTAAACCCTAAACCCTAAACCCTAAACTTAATAATCCCTAAACAGCTTCAGACCTTCGGCCTCAGGGCTTCAGGGGTTCAGGGGTGGTAGGGGTTAAGGGCGTAGAGTTTAGGGCCTTTGTCGCCCCTTTCGGTGGCCCGGTGGCCATGTGGTCGCTCCTGTATGATGAGCTCACGGCAGAAAGGCTGGGTCAGGAGATTCCACACCTCCAGAGGGATTCGAACCGGGGGACTCTTGGCCTCTATGCCAGAGGCCACACGCAATTAAGCGGCAAGTGGGCTTTCATGTTGCTAATCTCTGGAATTCCTGGAATCCTATTGTGGACACGTGGTGGCACGTGACATCTGACCAACCAAAGGGTGTGCCGGTGAGCAGTCCGAACATGGAATCGGAATGATAAACCCTAAGCTTGGGATGTTCCCCCTTTTACTAGGGAATATCGTACCCCCCCTGAGAATCCCTATCAAGAACTGTTAGTATAAGGGGAACATCCCAACCCTAACCCCCAACCCCCAACCCCCAACCCCTAAACCCTAAACCCTAAACCTAAACCCTAAACCCTAAACCCTAAACCCTCAACCCTCAACCCTCAACCCTCAACCCTCAACCCTAAACCCTAAACCCTAAAGCCCTAAACGTCGTCTGATGTCTTCCTCGGAGCCCAACTCTGAATGTTCTGGAGCCCTGGGCACCCCTAGTCTGAAGCAGCAAGGCCGAGGTTCGGAAATTGGGGCTTGGGGCTCAGGGTTCAGGGTTTAGGGTTTAGGGTTCAGGGTTCAGGGTTCAGGGTTTAGGGTTTAGGGTTTAGGGTTTAGGGTTTAGGGTTTAGGGTTTAGGGCATTATGGGAGTTCTGGTTCATGGACACCCGGGATGCCCACCGAATATATAATAAACCCCAAAGCCCTGCAGAAACCGTATCTTGGCTGCACTTAGGAGGGTAGCTATAAATTATTTTTTTAGGGTTTAGGGTTTAGGGTTTAGGGTTTAGGGTTGAGGGTTTAGGGTTTAGGGTTTAGGGCTAGGAAACCCAATAAACCCAAAAAGGCTAAGGATCTAAAGTTACAGTAAAGCACCACAAAGGTATCTTGGTAGCCCAGTAACCATATTATAACAAGGGCACCCTTTTTTTGGCTGGTTACTTTATAAGGGATCCCAGAACAAAAACAACAGGTAAAGGGTACCACTGGGCTACCAAGGTATAGAAACCCTATATATAACCCATTTATACGAATCCCATACCCTCTAGAATCTCTATGGAATGCCTGTGAACAAAGACACCAACCCTACCTAAGCCCTTAGCAACCATTGCTTTAAGAACCCCAACCAAACATAACAGGACAATCCCTAGATTGCCCTTCTAAGGAAGATTTTTTTTTGGGGGGGGGGGTCCTTAAGCAAACAGTGGTAGCCCTAAACCCTAAACCCTAAACCCTAAACCCTAAACCCTAAACCTAAACCCTAAAACCCTGAACTTTGGCCTTCACTTCCGGACGAGCCGGATACGTGAAGTGCACAGACTCAAACTGAAACTTGTCGATGCTGGTAATATCCAGGCGCTGGTCCTCAACAGTAGGTTGTTTAGGGTTTAGGGTCAGGGTTTAGGGTTTAGGGTTTAGGGTTTAGGGTTTAGGGTTTAGGGTTTAGGGTTTAGGGTTTAGGGTTTAGGGTTTAGGGTTTAGGGTTTGGTGTCTAGACCAGGAGTAACCTAGGAATAAACAGGGCACCCTTTTTGGTGTTCAGGGCATTATCAGGGAACCCCAACCCTAAAAAAGGAAAATAAGGGCCTACTCCGGGTCCTAGGTGTTTTGGGGGAGGTTTAGGGTTCAGGGGCGCAGGTTTTTTTCGGGATTTCTCCTGCTTCAGGCCCGCGAGGCGTGGAATTTCGGCCGAAATTCAGAGCGCTCAGGGTTTAGGGGGCAGAGGGTTTAGGGTTTAGGGTTTCGGGTTCGGGGGACAGGGCCCTTCAGCTCTATGTACAAAGCATTCGGGGGTTTAGGGTTCGGGGCCCTGGTGGCCCAGGTACCTTGCCAGTAGCCACATTAACATAAGGGCACGGCTTGTCACTTTATAAGGGAACCTTGAACCAAAGAAAGGTGCAAAAGGGCACCACGCACTCTCGACAGTAAGCCCACAGAATGGCCAATCTCCGATGCCTGAACCTGAGTCGATTTTACCCAAGGTGCCCCTTCGCGGCACTGGATGTTGGGCTTGTTCTCCACCGCCTGGAACGGACTCAGTAGCAGCTAGGGTTTGGGAAATAGGTTGCGGGGCTCAGGGTTTGCGGCTTTGGCGTTTGGGGTTTAGGATTTGGGGTTTAGGGTTTAGGGCTTGACGGTTTGGGGTTTGGGGTTTCGGGTTTGGGGCTACAAACTGATACTGCAACTACCCGGGGCGTAGGGTGTAGGGTGTAGGGTTTAGGAAATAAGGGCTTAGGGGCTTAGGGTCTGGGACTTACATGGTATAGGGTCTAGGGTCTAGGTTCATGGCCTATGGCCTTGGGTTGCGGCACTAGAGCCTGAAAGTGGGGAGCTTCGGGTTCAGGAACCAGATAACCCTAAACCCTAAACCCTAAACCCTCAACCCTAAACACGGGGGTGAGGGTTGAAGAGAATCTTGGTCTCGCACGCCTAGGTGTAGAACTTCAAGGGCCTAAGGGGCTGACAGCTCCTGGAGCTCTACAAGGAGGCCCCTCCCCAGCTATAAGTAGAGTTATAAGGACACGAAGTTGGGTTACAGGGATCCTAAGTTAGGTTACAAGTCCCTGAGCTATAGTTAGTATAATTAGTAAAGGGGCCCCTCCTTGTATAACCCCTTCCTGGATGGTTTATGCACGCCTTCCTAGAATGACAACTAGACACAAAAGAAACCTAGTTACAGGGGCTGAGAAGGGAAGGTAAACCCCAAAGAAAGGGAATGAGGGCGTAATCTGGGTCCACAAGCTTAGTTGTCCAGTCACATAGGGGAACTAAAGGTTAACCTGTTTGGGGGTTTATAGGGTTTAGAATACCCTAGAAAGGTTAAAGGTGACCACCCTAAACCCTAAACCCTAAACCCTAAACCCTAAACCCTAAACCCTAAACCCTAAACCCTAAACCCTAAACCCTAAACCCTAAACCCTAAACCCTAAACCCTAAACCACACCCACTCTACTACTAAGCAAGCCCTCCATGCCCCTGCAGCCCCAAGTGACGCCTGGAAGAAGCGTCCTGCGGCCGTCTGCGCGGCCTTCATGGCCTCCCGAGACGGAGTGTTGAAGTTGAAAGGGGGGGGAGGGGGGGGGGGGGGGGGGGGGGGGGGGGGGGGGGGGGGCGGGGGAGGGGGGGATAAGGGTAGGGGGTGGGGGGGGATGGGGGGATAAGGGTAGGGGGTAGGGAGCTTGGGGAGTTTAGGGGCTTTAGGAGTTTTTAGGGGGCTTAAGGGGGGTTTAGGGAGCTTAGGGGTGTTTTAGGGGGCGCAGAGGCTTTGGGGCGATGGGGCTTTGAGATCTGACCCACAAGCCAAAGCCGAAAAAAGGGGTCGGAGTCGACCTGGCGATTCCCAAGCCCAGTGAGATTCACAGCACCGTCTCAAGAGACTTAGGGGCTGAACTACTATTGGGTGTAGGGTTTAGGGTTTAGGGTTTAGGGTTTAGGGTTTAGGGAAACAATTCTTCCTCATGAGGGTAATCTAGGGATTGATATCTTTCATGTTGGATTCTGAAGCAAATAGTAGTGAATACCCTAGCCCCAAAAAGGTTAAACTTGTATGTGTAGTAGAACCCGCGCATCCCCCCCCCCCCAATCGCTGTTGCAGCTCAACGACGAAGACGCGCGGCGCGCAAGTGAAGATAACAAGTCCACCCATCAGCCCTAAACCCCAAACCCTAAACCCTAAACCCCTAAACCCTTAAACCCCCAAACCCCTTCACCCCTAAACCCCTTCACCCCTAAACCCTAACCCTATACGCCTAAACCCTAAACCCCTAAAGCTGAAACTTCCAAAAGCCTTGGGCCCCAAAATCCCTAAAACCCCCCAACCTACAACCTCGATTCTTTAGTCCTAAACCGCAAAAAAAACCCTGCCAGACCCTAAAGCTCCTAAACCCTAAACCCTAAACCCTAAACCTTAAACCCTAAACCCTAAACCCTAGCCCTAAACCCTAAACCCTAGTCCCTAAACCAAATAAAACCCAAAATCAGAAACCCTTTGCCCTCCATGAAACTACGCGGGCAGAGTCTTGGCCTTGACGCTGGGATCGAGGTTGCCGATCATGAAGCTGCCTTTGTGGTGTGGGGTTTAGGGTTTAGGGTTTAAGGTTCAGGTTTTCGGGCTTGGGGTGTAGGGGTTCAGGGTGTAGGGTTTAGGGTGTAGGGTTTAGAGTTTTGGGTGTAGGGTTTAGGAGATAGGCCTTTGTTGATGATTGAGAGTTTAGGGAAACTCTTTCTCCCGTCCTCCCGGCTCTACTCCCCTGCCCCTGGATCTCCCCTTACAACAAATGCTGCTATCATCGTTGCTCTGAACTACCTTCTTTAAACTGATTGAGGCTCATCAAGGGATAACCCTAAACCCAAAACCCAAAACCCTAAACCCTAAACCCTACACGGGCAGGATGACAAGCCAGGAACTCGCAAATGTAAGCCACGGGGCCAATGAAGATGCAGAAGAAGATGGCCATGATAGTGCCGGGCTCCCACAACTCCTTAGCTTTTGAGATTCTAGGGTTGTTTAGGCGATTTAGGGTCTAGAAACCCTAAGCCCTAAGCCCTAAGCCCTAAACCCTAAACCCTAAACCCTGAAGCCCAAGCTGTAGTTTGAGGCTTGGGGGCTGGGAGTTGGTGTTTCCAAGTCCTCGGAAAGGAGGTCGCAGAGCCGACCCTTTCTGTTGCAAGTCTTTGTCACAAGGGTCGGGCGGGGCCTGTTACAAGGGTGGCTGCCTCATACAACTCAGCCTCATTAAGCTCTTCTTTCGGATATGCACAGTCAGAGTCCAAGCAGCTGCGCAGTCAGACCACCAACTAGAGCCCAAGCAGCAAACCCTAAACCCTAAACCCTAAAACCTCAGACCCTAGAAATCGACCGCCCAAGAGAGGTAGACTGTTTGAGCCATCGATGATTTCTCGTAAACTAAAGCCTCGCAAGCCCACGATGCAAGAAGCCTACCACGATATACCCCTAAACCCTAAACCCTAAACCCAAAACCCTAAACCCTAAACCCTCTGCTCCTGACGTTGCGGCCCCCGTGGCTTGCCTTTCTCACCTCCCTTTCTCTGGTCCCTACATTCCCTTACGAAGCGATGTGGAACCCGAGGCCCGATATACCCCCCTCCCCCCCCCACTCCGGCCCGAGCCCTAAACGCTGACATCACAACACACAGCCTAACCGTCAATCGCAACTCCCCCCCCCCCCCCCCACCCCAAACCCTAAACCCTACACCCTAAACCCTAACCCTAAACCTCCTAAACCCTAAACCCTAAACAACCCGTGGCACAAACCAAAACCACGTTCCACACCCTCTCAGGCCAGTCTCGCCGGTGGATGGGTTCTTCTCGTCATTGTATCGCCTCATCGGAGGGCTTGCTGACTAAGGTTCACAGGGGATTATAGGGCCCATTATGGGGTTTATAGGGTTTAAAGGGCTTATTGGGCTTATAGGGTTTATAGGGTTTAAAAGGCTTATAGGCGTTGTAGGGTTTATAGGGTTTAGAGGGTTAAGGGTTTCGGGTCCAGGGTTCGGGTTTTTTTCAGGTGTATAAGGTTCATCAGGTTAAGACCATGGCAAAGCCCATCCCCCAAAACACAAGAGTTCTTAGAGCCTTAAGGTTCTAGGTTTCCTTCAGGTGTATAGTGCTTAAGGATTTTGGGCGGCCAAAGCAGTCAAACTCCCTCTCCGCCCGAGCAGAGTATGTAGGGCGTTAGGGTTGTGGAAGTTACCATAGGGTGTGTGGGGTGTCTGGGTGTGAACCCTAAACCCTAAACCCTCAACCCTAAACCCAAAACCCCAAACCCAAAACCCTAAACCTCGGGTGTTGGGACAGCGTAGGAAACCTAGTCGCTATTTTTCCCTCTTCAGAACTAGCAAGATGATGCCAGAGCCGAAACCCTCCCCCGAAACCCTAACCCTGCGGCAAATCCTAAGCCCTAAACTACTATTTCCTTAAGAACCCCAAAACAATATTTAAAAAACAATAACCCCTACAAGTAAAACCTAAACCCCCATGTCGATGGGGCGACGAACCCAAAAAAGACACCCAAGAAGAACCACAAAAATGATACCCCCACCCGAAGTTTAGGGGGTTTAGGGTTCAGAGTTCAGGGGACTAAGACGGGTTGCCAAGCAGGAATGGACCAATAATTGTACCTACCTGCTACCGGCTAGGCCCCCCCCGCCCCGATCGCGCAAGCAGAGGTTCATGAGCGAAAACAGGCAGGGTCCAGCCATGATATGACCAGCTGATTGTATGTACCCTGCTTCAGAAAACAAACCCTCCGCCCGAAACCCTGAAGCCCCAAAACCCTCTGCAACTTCCCTATGGGGCTCCGGAATACATTAACCCTGCAAGAGATCCAGGGGGTAGTGATATTTGAGCATTTCTTGATTTTCTTATGATTGTTCTATCCCTGTAACTGGCCCCTAAACCCTAAACCCTAAACTCGGTTAGTCCACTTCCCCCCCCCATATACAACTAGCGAGCAAGCCCCAGTTGAACCTAAACTTAAACTCCAAAAACTCCTTAAAACCGTGAAGACCCTACAAGCCCTGAAACCCTAAAACAACAACTAAACCATATAGACCCTAAATAAGAGCCAAAGGCACAACGTCATGCCGAACCAGAAGGCCAGGCCGTATCCAAAGAACACGATCATCATGGTGTAGCCCATACCGGCGCCGACCTGGTAAGGGGTATATAAGGGGTATACAACGGGTATATACGGGGTACATAAGTGGTATATCAGGGTACATCACGGGTATATAAGGGGTACATCAGGGGTGTATAAGGGGTATATAAGAGGCACATAAGAAGGACCCATTTAAGGGCCCATTTTGAGGGACCATGTAACTACCCTTGGATCCCTTGATTGATTCAAGGTTCTAGGGTTTTAGGGTTTTAGGGTTTACGGGTGAGGGTTTGCGGGTTCATAGTTTCGGGCTGAGGCTTTTAGGGCTTAGAACTTTTACAGTTGTTTAGGGGTTTAAGGTGGAGGGCCTGCAAAGGGATGTCCTGGTTACCTGGTTTTGTGGATGAGTGCGCTTGCTTCGTTCTTAGTCGTAGGGTTTAGGGTTTAGGGTTTAAGGGCTTAGGCTTCAGGGTTTCGGGTTTCAAGTAGTACCCAGCTGGCCTTACGACGGTTGCTCGCGTATGACCAACTGATCCATGGCAACTAACTTGCAGGTCTCAAGTTAACACGAACCCCTAAACCCCTGAACCCCTAAACCCATGTCCGCCTGAACCTGCCACGCTAAATCCTAAACCCTAAATCCCAAAGCCATGAACCCGAAAGCCCTAAACCTTAAAGCCCAAGACCCTAAAGCCCTAAACCCCAAGATCTGGCCTTTTTGTCTGGGTGATGGTGCCCTAGTACCTAAACCTTTTATTGGGCTCTTCAGCCTGGTATGAAAGTTCCTACATGCAGCAGGTTGAGTGCTTATTCCATCTAAACTTGGCTGCACTTAGGAGGGTAGCTATAAATAATATTTTTAGCTGCCTTGCTAGGAAACCCAATAAACCCAAAAAGGCTAAGGATCTAAAGTTACAGTAGAGCACCACAAAGTAAAGTCGTCGCCGTGTTTGCGTGCTCAGGGAGGGTTCAGATACTGCGTTTGTTCCCCGACTGCGCCCCTGCCCCCCCCCACCCTGCCGTGGTCATCCCTAGACTCCTATGGCCCCCCAAACCCTAAACCCTAAACCCTAAACCCTAAATCCTAAATCCTAAACACTAAACTAAACCCGAAAACCCTGGACAGTGCCTTGAATCCGTTCTTGACGCCGCCGCGGCGTGTCTGCACCAGGGCCGCAGAGAACTTCTTGAGCTCTCGGTGCCTCTGCGGCTGCATAGGGTTTAGGGGTTTAGGGGTTTAGGGGTTTAGGGGTTTAGGGGTTTAGGGGTTTAGGGTTTAGGGTTTAGGGTTTAGGGTTCAGGGTTTGGGGTTTCGGGTTCTTAGTAGGGAATGATGGCATGAGGCAGCCTATATCCCCCTCTATACATGTAACCATACCCTATAAGGGATTTCACACATAGGGTATCTACAAGTTAGGGTCATGGGTTCCGGGTGTAGGGTTGCAAGAGTGTTGCAAGGAGGGCTTTGGGGTTCGGATTTCAGGGTTTGGGTGTTCGGTGTTTAGGAGCTTCCGTTGGGTTTTGGGCCCAAACCTACACTCATAATGCCCTGCATCGTCCAAGCTGCTCGCCACCGAAGGCGACCACCGTGCGCATGGCATGGAGGCACTCCTACGGGTATGGGTTTAGGGTTTAGGGTTTAGGGTTTAGGGCTTAGGGCTTAATGTTTAGGGTTTAGGGTTTAGGGTTTAGGGTTTAGGGGTTCAAACCTCCACACCGTCGACTCTGGGCCCTGTTCCCTTTTTGGGCTTCCTTTTGAAAGGGTTGTATAGTATTTTGGGGTATATGAAGTAGGGTACATATTTCTTGTACCCCCAAAAGGACACCAAATATATACACTCACCAATATTAAAAAGGAACCTTGTATACACTGACCAAGGACAGAAATATAAACCCTGTTTCATATAACTTGGCTGCACTTAGGAGGGTAGCTATAAATCAGTATTTTTAGCTGCCTTACTAGGAAGCCCAAGAAACCCAAAAGGCTAAGGATCTAGAGTTACAGTAAAGCACCACAAAGATAAGGGGTACCCCTATCTTCGGAAATGAGCCCAAATTCAACGACGGTATCAACTCCCAAGGAACCCGAAGATTTTGGGGTTTGGGGTTTGGGTGCTTTAGAGTCTTTCGGGTTGGGATGTTCACCCCCTTATACTAGCAGTCCGAAATAGGGAGGAAAATCTAAAATAGGGGGTGCTCAAATCAAGGCTTTCGGGTTTAGAGCTTGGGTGTGAGTGCTTTGGGGGCCTAGCCAGGGCTCCTCGACAACCGCTGAAGCCTTGGCATACCAGCTCTGTGACTCATTCTGGATTTCCTGCACAGCCTGGCGGCGCGCAGGACTTAAGCGGCTTGGAGTTTAGGGTTCAGGGTTTGGGGTTTAGGGCTAGGTTTAGGGTTTAGGGTTTAGGGTTTAGGGTTTAGGGTTTAGGGTTCAGGGTTTAGGGTTTAGGGTTTAGGAGGTATAGGGTTTAGGGGGTTTAGGGCTCAGGGCCTCATGAACAAACTGCTGAGGACTTTGTCCTCCCTAAGGCAGGGAGGTGGATCTCAAGCCACCCCTGAGCCCAAAACTAGGGTTCCCCCCCCCCCCCCCATACTTACAGTCCTTAATAGGGTTTAGGGTTTAGGGTTTAGGGTTTAGGGTTTAGGGTTTAGGGTTGGGATTATCCTACCCCCCATTGTAACCCCTACCAAGGACTCCCTAAGGGTCCATGCACCTTATTATTATATACTTAGACCCAAAAGTCCTTCGATAGGAAGTGCTTTAAGGCCCCAAGTATTCCAGAATTAGGTACATGGACCCTTAGGGAGTCCTTAATAGGGATTATCCTACCCCCCATTATAACCCCTACCAAGGAGGTTTAGGGTTTAGGGTTTAGGGTTTAGGGTTTAGGGTTTAGGGTTTAGGACTGTTCGTATAATCCCAAGGCCTAGGGTTCAGAAGCGAGGCCTTGCCCATGAACATAGCGCCGACGCCCATGAACGGCAGAATGACGCACATCACCTTGGCAAAGTGTCTGTGTTCATGTCCCCACGGTTTAGGGTTTAGGGTTTAGGGTTTAGGGTTTAGGGTTTAGGGTTGAGGGTTTAGGGTTTAGGGTTTCCCGAACCCTGAAACCCTAAACCTGAAACAACCCTATGGGTTTCCGTGTGGGGGTCTGAGATTCAGGGGTATAAATCCGATGCGCCCCTTTTAACCAAGAGTCCTATCAATCTCAAAAACTGTAAACCCTACAGGGGGTTAAGTTTTAGGGTTTAGAGGTTTAAGTTTTGAGGTCTAGGGTGATCGTTTGTGTCTTAGGGGGGTTTGGGGCTGAAAGGGACGAGGGTTTCAAGTGGTTAAGAAGGAGCTGCCCAAGATTAACCTCGGAAAAAAAAAAAAAAAAAAAAAAAAAACGGGCTCCCTTTGTGGTTTGAAGGGGCCTACACGGGAACCTAAACCCTCAACAAACGGAACAAGGGCCTTCTGTGTCCTAGTCGCCCAAAACCCTAATCGAACACTGCAATTCGGTCCAATGCCCTGACCTGCTGAGGGGTTCAGGGTCTTACGGGTTTGTGGCTCAGAATTTTTAGGATTCTGGGCGTGGGCTTCGTGGGGCTAAGAACTTGAGAGTTTGGGGCTTGGGGGTTTTTAGCGTCTCAGGGTCCCCAAACCCTAAACCCTAAACCCTACACCCTACACCCTAAACCCTCTCAATCCTAAACCCTAAACCCTTTGTGGGGGGACTTCCTTGTAAACCCTAAATGACAGGCCACCAAGGCAATGAGCCAGCCCATGCCGAAAGCACAGGCGAAGCCGCCAATGAAGGCTGAGGCGGCCTCTCTTTTGTTTTGCTTGTTGATAATTGGGTTTAGGGTTTAGGGTTCAGGGTTTAGGGTTTAGGGTTTAGGGTTTATAGGGTTTAGACTGTTTTGTTTGGGGGGGCGGGGGGGCGGGGGGGGGGGTGAGATTGGATTTAGAGCTTTGTGGGCAGTTTGAGGGCACAAGTGTGCGCTTTCTCTGAGAAGCATACTACACGCTTGCTCTTCTGATGCTTTTGCTTAGCCTTTGTTTCGCTGTGGCGGGGAGGGGGTTTGGGGGTCGTTGGGAGTAAGGTTTTGCGTTGCTGGTGGGGGGGGGGTGGGGCGGAGGGCGGGGGGTGGAGGATGGGTGCGGGTTCACGGCTTCAGGGGTTCATGTAGAGTTCGAGCTCGGGGATGCTGCCCAAGCTTTGGCCGGTGAGAGCAGCCGGGCACAGCTGCCCTCAGCTTCATGCCAAACCGCTGACAAGGCTTTCCGTGTGCTTGATGAATCCCTAACCCCTAAACCCTAAACCCTAAACCCTAAACCCTAACCGAATGAGGGTTGGGTGGGAAAGGGGCACGATCCACGTGCTCCCCAGCAAGTGGTCTGACTTCTTCTTCAGCTGTGCTGCGGACAAGACCTGCATCTTTGTGCGCTGCTGCGGGGACTAGGAGTCCTTTCACAGTACTGGCGCTCCGGTGAGTTCGCGCAGAGTCTTGCTCAGCCTCTCCGAAGTCGCAACCAGCCTCAAACACATTCTTGTATTTCTTCTCGCGTAAGCTGCCAGGCCACACAAGTATAGGTAAGCTAAGCGGAGGCCTTTAGAAGTCTCTTTCATGGGGCAAGGAGGGGGGAGAGGGCCACAACCCCTGAACAATTCAATCCCGAGCCTCAGGCTGAAACTCGAAACGCCCAAACCTCTCACACCCAAAAACCGTAACGTACCCAAGTATGGTGCACTTGGGCGTTGAAACAGGCCCCGGCATGGGGAATGTACCTTTAGGGTTTAGGGTTTAGGGTTTAGGGTTTAGGGTTTAGGGTTTAGGGTTTAGGGTTTAGGGTTTAGGGTTTAAGGCAACATGGTGACTCTGGGGCTGTGCATGGATCCTTGGAAAGCCTTGCTCTTACTACTATTTGCCAAGATCCCGCTCCAAAAGAATACGACAAGTTCTCGTTCTTACAATCGTAGTTTGCGAAGCCAGTAACCATACTATGATAAGGGTACCCTTTTGGGGTTGGTTACTTCAGAAGGGATCCTAAACAAAAAAGGAAAAGGGGTTTTATCACCGGGCGAACCCTGAACCCTACACCCTAGGAAAAGGGGCTCATAGGCCGACTCTGGGTCCAAGTAGCCCTAAACCCTAAACCCTAAACCCTGAACCCTAAACCCTGAACCCTAAACCCTAGACCCTAGACCCTAAACCCTAAACCCTAAACCCTAAACCCTAAACCCTAAACCCTAGACAAAGGCAATAGGGGCCTACTCTGGGTCCTAGGTTACAAAGTTGCAGCCGGAGGGCCATGACGCCGTTGCCGAACTTGTCTCCGAAGGCATCCTACGGAAAAGGAGAGGGTTTAGGCGGTTTAGGGGTTGGAGATTTGGGGTTTTAGGGTTTCGTGGTTTCGGGTTTAGGGAATAGGGGTTTAGGGTGAGGGTTTGGGGTTTCCGGTTTAGGGTTGAGGGCTTGGGGTTTTGGTTTCCGGTTGAGGGTTAGGGTTTCGGGGTTAAGGGGCTTAGCTTAGGGGTTGAGGGATAGGGTTTCAGGTTGCAGGGTTAAGGGGCTTAGCTTAGGGTTTGGGAGCTTTGGCTTTTAACGCGTTTCTGGGGGGGCTTGACAGGCGTATAGGCGGGTCTTAGGGTTTTAGGGCTTTCCGCACTTCGGGGATTAGGATGTCGGGTCTTGGGCCTGTAGTCCTATCTGTCTAAGGGGTAGTTACATGCTCCCTTAGTATGGGGCCAAAAAAGAGTAGCCCACCCCAAAACCCCAAAACCCTAAAACCCTAAAACCCTAGAACCCTGAAATCCTCAAGCCCTAAAACCCTAAGCCCTAAACCCTGACAAGAACAGGAAGGGAGCGACCCCGTAAGCCAGGAAAATGACGGCCTAGGGTCTAGGGTCTAGGGTTTAGGGTTTTGGGTTGAGGGTTTGGGGTTTACGGTTAGGGTTTAGGGTTTAGGGTTTAGGGTCTAGGGCTTAGGGTTGATGGTTGAGGGTTTAGGGTCTAGGGTTCCCAAGCCCGAAACCCCAAACCCTGGGTGAACATGTATGTGTGAGGGCGACAGGCAGAAGAAACTGCTAAGGCAAAACCTCCAACTAGTTAAAGCTGCTTCCAGTAAGACCCTGAAGCCAAATCTCTAAACCCTGAACCCTAAACCCTAAACCCTGAACCCTAAACCCTAAACCCCAAACCCTAAACCCTAAACCTTAACCCTAAACCCTAACCCTGACTGATGTTCCAAGTGGAGTTCCTGGATAGCCAAAAAGCCCACGATTAGGGAGCATTAGGCATTATGGTTTTTAGTGTCCCGTCAGCCCTCCCCGAAGAACTCTATGCATGGGAGAATCGGATGACTCGCTTTGAAAAGGAGCTGTGTCCCCTCGAGACTGACATGACCCTGCTGGTGCAGGTGCGTGCGAATCACGCGAGTCAACTCTTCGGAATCCTCAGAAGGGGAGTCGTCGGGCAGCGTGTTCTTTATGGTGCCCTTGAAGCGCTCCAACGTCTGCTGCGCCGTGCGTGGGCCATGTCCTGGGGCGCAATTGTAGAGGCCGCGTGCCTAAGCTGCAGTCCATAAACCATCTGCCGCTGTCTGACGCAAGTGTTCTCCCAAACCAGCAACCGCCCCCACCCCATCAGCCTCAACGCCCCAAGCCTTACCCCGAACTCGCATCCTAAACCAAGAACCCCTCCCATCCCAAACCCTTGACCCTAAATCCTGAACTCTTCATCGCTGAACCTATAAGAAGGCATAGTAGCCCAGCAACCATATTGTAATGAGGGTACCCGACTTGTCGGCTGGTTACTTTACCCAGAACCAAGCAAAGGGTTTACAGTAAAGGGTACCCTGGGCTACCATAAACCCTAAACCCTAAACCCTAAACCCTGAACCCTAAACCCTAAACCCTAAACCCTAAACCCTGAACCCTAAACCCTAAACCCTCCACTAGGCTACCAAGTCTTTGAATCCAAGAAGGGCATCCGGTCAGGCCTGAATCTTCTCCAAGTCATCGTTGATCTCGGCCGGCAGCGCCGCAACCTGCTCTGAGAAGAAGGTAAGCTGCGGTTTCGGGTTCAGGGTTTCCGTTTCAGGTGCCCTAAACCCTAAACCCTAAACCCTAAATCCTAAACCCTTCTAGGGTAGGGCTTCAGAGAATTCGGCGGGTGCGGGATGTCTTCTGCTGCAAGGAGGGGATCTCAAGTCACTCCCATGCCTCACGGGTGTCGAACCAGGAAACGTCCTGGCTGCGAGGGATCGGGGCTTAGGGTTTAGGATTTAGGGTTTAGGGTTTAGGGCTAGGGTTTAGGGTTCAGGGTTTAGGCACTTGACATATCGAACTTGCGAAAGGCCTAAGTCCAAGCCCATTAGGGTTTAGGGTTTAGGGTTTAGGGCTTTGGGTTTAGGGTGATTTGGAATCAACTTTGAAGTTTAAGGTCTCAAAAGCAACAAAAGTACAAGCTTCTCAAAGCACCAAAACGGTTGCCAGCCACCGAGAAGCCCTGAAACGTCCACACCCAAACCCTAATTCCTAAACGACCTTCAGAAAAAACCTAAACCCTAAACCCTGAGACCCTAAACCCTAAACCCTAAGCCCTAAACCCTAAATAGCAGGATCCAAGCAAGCCCGCTGTCCCAAACTACACCTTGCAATCCTTAAAGCCCTCAGCACTCTCACGTAGGATCCAGGGCTTATAGGGCTTAGGATTCAGGGCCTGTAGGGTTTAGGGCTTGTAGGGCTTAGGGCGCCTCATCCCGAACCCTAAACCCCGAACCCCAAACCCCTACATAACATCCCGGAGACCTGGTGCAGGACCGAGTCGAAATACAGCACGCGGAACTTGAAGGCTTGTTTCCTAAGGGCGTGTGGAGTGTTAAGGGTTTTGGTGTAAGGGCAAACCCTAAACCCTAAGCCCTACAGCAATGCACGTTCTTAAGGCCCATGTTTCCTGGGCCACTGGACTTGTAAGGGCTTTGGATAACCCAAAGTAAACCCTATACACCTAAGCCCTAAACCCTAAACCCCAAACTCCAAACCCTAAACCCTAAACCCCAAACTCCAGAAATCCTAAGATCTCAGCTTCAAGGGCTACTCCGGGTCTTCTGTCTGGGTTGATTTGAGCGTTCCGTGCCCCCTCTAAGGGTAGTTACATGGTCCCTGAGTATGGGGTTCAGGGTTTAGGGTTTAGGGTTTAGGGTTTAGGGTTTAGGGTTTAGGGTTTAGGGTTGGCTGATATACCCCTGATATACCCTGTACAAACCAAGGGCCCATACATCAGAACCCTTTAAAGGAAGTTAGGGACCATATTAAACCCTAAACCCTAAACCCTAAACCCTAAACCCTAAACCCTAAACCCTAAGGGCCCATGAAACTACTCTCAGCTACGCGACACCCGAGAGGCCTCCAAGGGCCCAGGCAGGAGGCTCCAAAGCATTCCCGAAAGGCCCCGGCCCCAAAAGGGTTTAGGGTTTAGGGTTTAGGGTTTAGGTTTTAGGGTTTAGGGTTTAGGGTTTAGGGTTTAGGGTTTAGGGTTTAGGGCACGAAACGCCGAGGGGCCCCAACAGGCCCAGGCCTTAAGAGGCCACCGCAACAAGTCAAAAGGCCCCAAAGAACCCAAGACGGGGGGGGGGGGGGGGGGGCCATGTAACCTCCCCTTGACCAAAAGCAGGTCGTACCCAAAAAGCCTCAGCCCCCCCCCCCCCCCTCCCACCCTGCAGGTGTGAGTTTCTAGGAACTAAAGGAGGGCGGGACCCCTAGGGGTTCTTTGGGGTATTTAGGGGCTAAGCAAGTATCTAATTAGTAACTATGTAAGGTACATATTAAGGGTCCCTTCTAGGGGTCCGTCCTTATACCCCTTGAGTGTTGTGCTGCGCGCCCAAATGTGCAAACACTAAACCCCAAACCCAGGAAGCCTCGACCCGAAGTAGGCGTCCAATGTCGGAGCTCATGAAAACCAAAACCCATGTGCTGCGGGGGTTGAGGGTTTGGGGTTGAGGGCTTGGGGTTTAGGGTTTGGGGGTTAGGGTTTGGGGTTTAGGGTTTGGGGTTTAGGGTTGGGGTTCAGGTTTTAGGGTTTAGGGTTTTGGGAGGTTTAGCATGGGGCTGGAGGGTTAGAGGTTTAAGGGTCAACAACAGACATGCCGTACATACAAGCCCTTGTCACGACCAGCCGCTCTGCGAAGATCTTGAAGCCTCGGTGGCCATATTACACTATAAACCCTAAGCACTTTGGGCACCTGCTGCCCTAATTCAGCCCTAAACCCTAAACCCTAAACCCTAAACCCTAAACCCTAAACCCTAAACCCCAAACCCACAAAAAAAAAGGGGGGGGGGGGGGGCAAAGGGTTCCCACTGGCGCCGCCCCAAGTGGCATGCTCCCTGAAGGCCGGCGGCCACGGTCGCTGCCACGCCCACGAGCATCATGGTGACGCAGAGCTCTTCCATCTGACTCATCCTCGGTTTTAGGGGTTTAGGGTTTTAGGGTTTAGGGTTTAGGGTTTAGGGTTTAGGGATTTTTGGGTTGAGTGTTTAGGGTCCAGGGTTTAGGATTGACAAGGTTTAGGGTTGGGCTGAGGATTTAGGGGCTGGCGTTCGAACTTATACTTAGAGGAAGGCAATGAATGGCACTGAAGCCAAACCCCCGCCCCCTCTGCCCTCCCCCCGTCGGAGTTTGAGTTTTGTGGGTTTAAGGTTTTCAGTTTTGAGATTTTAAGGGGTTTGCGGTTCTGTTTTTTTCGAATCAGTATGCTGTCTGGGGAGTGCCAGAACGTCTTCAGACGCAGGGTTTTAGTTTGCCCGCGCGCCCACAAAGTGCCAACAGCTAGGGGCACACGTTGCCTAACTTATCCCCAAAACATGACATGAAGGTAAGATAGCATAGTGCAACTTAGCGAAAACAACACATAAGACAGCATATCACACCATACCACAACGTGAGATGACATTTCAACAAAACGCAACGCAGCACACAACACAAAATATCCTACGGCAACATCACATGGCAGGACACTACGACAAACATGCCATGGCATAATATAACATGACGTCACACAAAGTGACTTAGCGCTATACGCTATATTGCGAACATTACCTACATACCGCGCTCATTCCCTCAGACCCGCGCTCCTAAACCACCTCATCTGGGTTTAGGGTCTACAAGTAGGGTTTATAACCCTAAACCCTAAACCTTAGACCCTAGACAGTGCAGACCCCCAAAACCGGCTTGGCGCCAGCAGGTCCGGGCGTCATGCCGTCCATGAGGGCCAGGACCTGCTCCGGGGTGAAGGAGTCCTGGGAGCGCAAGGGACCCACCAACAGATGGGTTTAGGGAAGTTTAGGGTTTAAGCGGGTTTGGGGGGCTTAGGTGTTGGTTCTTTTTGGGATCTGCGCACAAAGGACCAGTCAACAGATGGGTTTTGGAGCTTCGGTTTTTGTTTTTTTGGGGTGGCCAAGGCCCTGCGAAACAAGGGCAGCGTTTTACTTCGAGCACCCCTACACCCTAAATTCTAAACCCTAAGTCCTCAACCCTAAGCCCTAAACCCTGAACCCTGAACCCTAAACCCGAAACCCTAAACCCTACCCGCTAGACCCTAAATCGACTTGGCGGGGGAGGAGGGGACCCAGGCAAGGAGTGACCGAAGATCAGGGAGACAATACTAGGGTTCAGGGTTTAGGGCTTAGGCAGGCGTCAGGCGTCATGGGAGTTGCTAACTCCATGGGTTCTAGTGTTTGGGGTTCAGGATTTGCGGGTTCCAACTTCTTATTTACATTGGCTCGAATTCTCACTAGAGTGACTAAGACTGGTCCGAAGGTCCCATGACCATTCACTTGGTAGCCCAATGGCCGTTTGCGTGTACCCCTTTGTGTTTGGTTACTTTCCGAGGGAACCTAGAACCAAAACAAGTGTAAAGGGGACCACTGGGCCACCAAGTTCAAGTAAACCTCTACACCCCAGCCCCCAAATCCGAAACCGCAAAGCCCCCAACCCCCCAAAAAAAACCAAAGCCTGAATCCTAAAGCAATAGAAAGCCCTAGAACACTACACCCCCAAAACCCTAAACCACAACAAAAACCCTTAGCCCCCAAGCCCTAATTAAACCCTAAACCCTAAACCCCGACACCCCTACACCCCTAAACCCCTGAACCCCTAAACCCCTAAACCCCTCCTAAACCCCTAAACCCCTACACCCCTAAACCCCTACACCCCCAAACCCCTAAACCACTAAACCCCTAAACCCGTCCTAAACCCCTAAACCCCTAAACCCCAAAACCCCTCCTAAACCCCTAAACCCCTAAACCCCTACACCCCCAAACCCCAAAACCCCTAAACCCTAAACCCCTAAACCCCCGAAACACCCGAAACCCCCGAAACCCCTAAACCCCTAAACCGAACCCCCTAAACCCCCTAAACCCCTAAACCCAAAACCCCTAAACCCCTAAACCCAAAACCCTAAACCCAAACCCCTAACCCCGAAACACCCGAACCCCGCAACCCTAACCCCCCAAACCCCTAAACCCTACACCCCTAAACTCCTTAAACCCAAAAAACCCCAAAAACCCCCTAAACCCCAAAAAAACAAAAAAACCCTAAACCTCTAAACCGCTGAACCCTAAAAACCCCTAAACCCCTAAACCCCTAACCCCTAACCCCTAACCCCTAACCCCTAAACCTAAACCAAAACCCCCTAAACCCCCGAACACCCGAAACCCCCGAAACCCCCTAAACCCCTAAAACCCCCTAAACCCCTAAACCCCTAAACCCCCCTTTTGTTCAAAACCCCAAAAACCCCTAAACCTCTAAACCGCTGAACCCCTAAACCCCTAAACCCCTAAACCCCTAAACCCCTAAACCCCTAGACCCCTAAACCCCTAAACCCTAAACCCCTAAACCCCCGAAACACCCGAAACCCCCGAAACCCCTAAACCCCTAAACCCCTAAACCCTAAAAACCCCTAAACCTCTAAACCGCTGAACCCCTAAACCCCTGAACCCCTAAACCCCTAAACCCCTAAGCCCCTAGGCCCGAAACAATCCCCACTAAGCAAAGCTGGGCTTCAGGGGCACCACTTGAAGATCCCATTCCGTCGATGAGGTCACCGAAAACAATGCACCTGGGTTTGGGGTTTAGGGTTTAGGGCTTAGGGCTTAGGGTTTGGGGGCTGAGGGGGTTTAGGGTTTAGGGACTGGGGCTTAGGGTTTGGGGCTGAGGGGGGTTCAAGGTTTAGGGTTCAGGGATACCGTGTTAGAGAGGCCTACATCCGAGTCCCTCTAGGTTCAGCCTCTTATCATTTTGCGGATTGCATCCCAAAGAGTGAACACCGCGGCCAAGGCTAACTTTTGGGGAAGCTCTGGCGCCATGTTTAGGGTTTGGGGTTTAGGGTTTAGGGTTTAGGGTTTAGGGTTTAGGGTTTAGGGTTTAGGGTTGAGGGTTTAGGGTTTAGGGCTTCGGGAACCATCATCGAGGTCCTCCCACCCTGGCATTTCTCTGGGCTCAGCTCCCGCGTCCATGAGCAAACCAACGGCGGTTGGTGCCTGACGCAACGCATCAGCGTCGTGCACGAGGAACTTTCCTCAAAACTGGCCAACGCCATAGTTGATTTTGCGGTACAAAGCCCTGCAACTCTTGGTAACCTCTTCGGAAGTGCTCCTCAACTTCGTCCTCCTGCCGACCCCAAGCCCCTGCATAGGCCAGCAGGAGAGCGCACCATCCATGTGGAGTCTGGCACACATGACCGTTCCCTCCATCCACGGGGCAGAGTTCCAAACCGAGGTCGACGCTTGGCAGCCGAGGAACCATACCAGAATGCAGGTTTAGGGTTTAGGGTTTAGGGTTTAGGGTTTAGGGTTTAGGGTTTAGGGTTTAGGGTTTAGGGTTTAGGGTTTAGGGTTTAGGGTTTGGGCTTTACGCATTCGGGTTTAGGGTTCCTGCTCGTGGGGTGAGTTCCTTTTGACAAGGGGACCTGGAAACCAAAAAGGGGCAAGGTAACACTGGGCTACCAGTTATGTGACTGTCTTTTGTTTAAGCTCCTCACGCTCCCAGACACCTCCTCTGAGTAAGCAAGGTTTAGGGTTTAGGGTTGGGGTTTGGGGTTTAGGGCTTAGGGTTTAGGATGAGCCTTTTCTAGCATGTTGGGGGGGAGAGGGGGGGGCGGGATCGAGGAATCAGGCTCGGGGTGTGGTGTCGGACTTAAAAAGCAGACAACTGAACCCCAAGCTCGACATGGCGTATGTGCCGTTTAGGGTTTAGGGTTGAGGGTTTAGGGTTTAGGGTTCATTCAACTTCTCGATGAGCAGCAGGCCCTACATATCCCTGGACATCAAGAACGCCTACACCTAACCCTGAGGATGTACCCCTATATACTAACAGTCCCTAATAGGGACTTCAGGGGTGCTAACATTCCCTAGAAATTAAGGAACATCGCAACCTAAACCCCATAACCCCTAAACCCTTTTGAGGAAGACTTGAACTGGGGTCCAGAGAGGCGCTCTTGGCTTCTGCTTCTCCCGGGCAACTCTGACAACATGGCTGTGGTTCGAGGTTGGGGGGCTCGGGGGTACCTGTTTCCAATGGGTGCAATCTCCAGGTTTAAGGTTTAAACAGATTAGAGCCTAGGAATGCCAATCCTAAACCCTACACCCTAAGCCTTAAAGAGTAGAGCTTAGGAATGCCTAAACCCTAAACCCTAAGCCCCAAACCCTACACCCTAAACCCTAAACTACACCCGACCCCCCCCCCCCCCCCCCAAAAAAAAAAAAAAAAAAAACACGAGTGCTAAGTGAGAGGCAGCAAGGGCTGTGAAATGCCATTGCCGATGGCTCCTTCCATGACGAGGCTCTGGGAAACTCAGGGACTCTGTGGGGATGATACTCTACAAGGAGGGGTTTAGGGTTTAGGGTTTAGGGTTTAGGGTTTAGGGTTTAGGGTTTAGGGTTTAGGGCCCCCCTAGCTATAAGTAGAGGTATCAGGATCCTAAATTGGGTTATAAGGATCCTAACTTCGGTTATAAGTCCCTTAACTATAGTTAGTATAGTCAAGGGGCCCCTCCTTGTAGGTTGGGCACTCCAGGAATTCTCCGGGGATGCTCTGGAGTCGGGCACTTCAGCGGGGAAAGGGGATTCGGGGGATGGACGAGGAGGAGAGTTTAGTTTAAAATCATATTAACCCCACACCCTACACCCAAAACCCTATATAAACCCTAAACCCTAAACCCACCAAGGTTGGAGACTAGGCACCGAGTTATCCCGAAAGCAATCAGTGCGAAGTCTTTAAGGCAAACGTGTCTTGGTGTTGCAAATGCGGTGATCGTGGTGCGGTGTCGTAGGCTATGGAGGTAGGTATGGCGTAGGTAGTGGACCTGCCTAGCATGCCGATCAGCAGCACGACGGCTTCTAGCCCGTTCATCATAGAGAACATCCTGGGACAACAGCGCGGCTATGACAGGGTGAAAGGTTTA